GTATATGCATGTACACATATCTATTTGTATGACTAGTGACGAAATCAAGCCACCATTTTATAATATTGATTACGCCTTCGCTTTTGAAGAACGGCACTATATGTCCACAAACGCAATTGAAGCTGATCGATTTTGGTTGAAATGCAGATTCATAGGTGTTGGTTTGTGCTCAAGCTCGGTTTCGTTGAACAAATTACCTGGATGGGAGAAAAACTCGTACGGTTACCATGGCGACGACGGATGCATTTTCAAGGTAATTTCTATCTAATCGATGGAATTGGCGTGTATCCAATTTTCTGTATATCATAGAATCATCGTCTTTATATACAATTCATGCTCCAAAAATCTCCCATGAATTAAGCATACTACTATATCCGTATCATCGAGATCGGGTTCTGAATTGGCTTTTGTAGTATTTTTCGAATACAATAAGAAATCGAAACCTGCGTTGTATTAGTGTATAAGTTTTGCCCTCTTTTGTGAGCAATCGACGCCAACGCTTATTTCATGCGCGAACTAAATGACGGTTTCCGTCCAATGCAGCCCTGTGTGTGATGCACATTAGTTTCCCTCAACCCTGACCAACACATTGACCCTTTTTTTTTCTTCAAAAATCTGCACCCAGGGCTCTGGAGCGGGTCAAAACTACGGCCCCACTTTCGGAAACAAGGACACCGTCGGCTGTTGCTATAACATGGCCGAAGGCACAGTCTTCTACACCAAGAACGGTGTTCACCAAGGTATGAGTACTATGTATGTATATCTCGTATGAGTTTGTTTATCTGGTATCTTTTAGGGTTTTAGGGTTTAGAGTTTAGGTATCTTCTCTTATTATTAGGGTTCTATGTATGTGTATTCTGTACTATAGTTCACAGGTATCGCCTTCAGTGATATACGGGGCCAATACCTGTACCCCGCGATTTTAGACTGCGTAGTCTAGGGAAGGTGGTGACAGTTGCTTCTTACAAAATAGATGGTCATACAACAACACCACACCCATTCTTTGCTGTCGATCACGAGTTCGTTGGCTTAGTGTCCTCATTTATTATCAAGATATAAGATACTATGTATGCATATCATAAATTTGATATGTTGGACAGGTATCGCTTTCAGTAATATTACGAGCCAGCCTATGTATCCCGCCATTGGCCTGCGTAGTCCTGGGGAGGTGGTCGTGGTCAACTTGGGCACAAGCGCACCGTTTATGTTTGACATAGACTCGTACGTTCGCGACTGCAAGACGGCGGCACTCAACACCATCAGACAGGTGAGTTTAGATACATATAGACACATATCTTATGTGTATATATGTGTGTGTGTGTGTGTGTGTGTGTGTGTGTGTGTGTGTGTGTGTGTGTGTGTGTGTGTGTGTGTGTGTGTGTGTGTGTGTGTGTGTGTGTGTGTGTGTGTGTGTGTGTGTGTGTGTGTGTGTGTGTGTGTGTGTGT